GCGTTACGAGCGCTGCGCAGGTTAAGTTTGGTAATGGGGCTGCCACCTCACAGCTTCCAAACAAGCTATGAGGTTATTAATATCTATCTTTAATATTTTAACTGTAGGAAGATGCCGAAAAAAATTTGATTTTTTTCAATTTTTGAAAAATAAGTGCTTTTAACGAATATGAGACCTGTACCATTATCTTAAACGTCCTTTAGACTATCTAAGCACAAAATGTAATCAAAATTGATGACACTATTTTTTTTTAATTTAGAAAATATCCCTGAGACTTCATGTAAAGTACCTCCCAAAATTAAAATATTAATTTTAAATTCAAGGAGCTGGGACATCAGCCAGATCGATCTGGGAATAGGAATTTTTGAGAAATTTGGCTGAAATGCTTATCCGCAAGCGTTGTTCACTGACAGACGGACTGACATGTTTTGCCGTCAAACGATTTTTCAGTAGCAAGGACCCACAAAACAGGAATGGGAAATGCTATTCAGCATTCAAATTAAAGGCGTCTTTGTTGAAGTATACATTTGCATTGTTTTGTAATACTAGGAACTGACCCCATCCAAAAAATATGTCAGTTAACACTGTCTCCATCTCACTTGAGAAATGTTATGAGTTTACGCTGAAAATGGTGAATTGAATTCGTATAGAGTTTCAGGCATTCAGAATTTTTTTTTTTTGAATTCTTAGCTTTGTCTGAAGAGTAGCACAAGAGGATGCCGAGTAGCTAAGAAACTAATTCACAGCAGTCTCTGAATAACATCTTGAAGTACGAAAGAACAATTTCTAAAAAACCACACTGGGCAATGAAAACACGTAGCGTCATTTTTTTTGTCTAATGAAGAGAGCAGAAGACGGCAAACGATAAGCGAAGACAGCAGAAGAAACAGAAGACGAACATACTCTGTCAGTTCCTTCATTACTCGTATCAGGTGATACGTTAGGGTGACCAGGACCAGCGGTGCACGTTTATTCATCATTGTCACTGCCAACATATTTGCGGCATTACTTTTTTGAAAACAAACAAACAACTTCACTTTACTCGTCACGAGAGGGAATTTTGAAAACCAGTTTGTCCAATAAACACAGCTTTTTTAGCGGCAACCTGTCAATTTTCGACTTCTCAAGGATGCTGGTTGTAACAACCAAAACGTACACTTCTACTGCAATTATAGATTTTCATATTAAGAAAATGGAAACAATAGTGTAGATATTATTGTAAGACTATTTGTTATTATTGACGTCACGGAATAACGCACGTGTTTTGCGGATTCCTCTGTTTACACAACCCACTCAGTATATCTGAGGTCAGTTGTTTATAAATAAACTTAAAGAGTCGCTTTTCGTCAGAAGACTTTCATTTGAGATCGTATGTGTGTTCCTGTGATTCATAACATGACATAAGACTCACGGTTGCTTCCTGTTGGAGGTCACGATACCTCGTGTCATGGTCGCCCCGTAGTTCGAGCAACTAGCCCGGCGGTCTGCGTGATGCATAAGTGCTCCGGTGAACACACTATTTTTTTTAAAATGTTATTTGTGTCCCACTTTGAAATTTGGCTGATGTAAATAAAATTAATTTGTAAAAGATTGCATTAAAAGTAAATACATTTAAATATTTAAATAATATGTTTACAAAAATTATTTTACATCATACGAAAGTACACCTTTTTAAGTTAAATTTAAATGCAATTTTATTTTTTGAAAGTAACGGTGTTTGCGCAAAAAATCTTAGAACGTGCATGATATTTTGGAAAGTATAATTGGTAATATTTCTGAAAGGGGTGATTTTAGAAAAAATGCTTGTCACCTCTTTTCAACCCTAGACCTCTCAAAAAATGTTTCAAGTCGCTAAAAAATAGTAATGTTTTGTGAGTGTGCGATTTGACGTGGAATGGCTCTATTGTAAGACCCTGCTAAAAAAGTGGATAAATAAAGTTGCTAAATCCTCTAATAAATCCTCTATTAAAAATCCTCTAACATGTGGAGTAGCCAGAATTCATGTTTTGTGGGTCCTTGATGTCAAAAAATCGAATGACGGTAAAACGTGTCTGTCTGTCCGTCTGTGAAGAACTCTAGGGGCTAAACCGTTCAGTCGATTTTCAGCAAAATTGATATTCCTCTAAGGATCAGCTTGATATCGCGGCCCCTTGAACGTGTAACTTATACTTTAATTTTGGGGGGGTACTTTACGCAAAGCTCGGGAATAATTCAAAATTTAAAAACAAATGTTTCCATCGTTTTTATTAAATTTTGTTGTTGGGTAGTGTGAAGGACGCGGATAAATAGAGCAGTTTTCTTGTTGGTTAAAAACCCACATTTTTCAAAAATTGCCAATATTCAACATTTTTCCGGCGACATCTTCAATTATAAACATAAGAGATATTTTTCTTAATTAAATCTGTTCCTTAAAGATAGATTCTGAAATATGGTCATGTACATTTTTACGAACATTTGAGTGCTTTCAGCGTAATTTTGACTAAAAGTACGGGCGAGAGTGAACATGCTGTTTTAGCATGACTAGTTTAGTATACCATACATACCATAAAGGTCAAACGTCATTTTCACTTTTTTCAAAAAATGGATCAAAATGTTTGAACATTAAAATGCCTCAAAGACGTAAATTTACTTTGGAAAGCAATTCAATTTATTGGAATGTTATCAATACAATACTTATTTATCTCTATCAGGAAAATTGTGTTAAATGGTAATCAATTGAACAATATGTCGCGGGATAATGGCGTGTACTTTTAATTTCAGTAAATGAATGAAAAGGAACGCAAACAATAATTCCTTTGGAGATAGTTAGTTTCCACTGAGAACTGTAAGTCTCAATTGAAAATTCAATTTTATACAGTGTAAAATTTACCCACTTTACCTGGTAAGGCAATTATTTCGCCTATTAAAATTGGGCGAGAATTCAATTTTCCATACACCCGATACTTATTTAATTTGTCGGGTACACATTCAAACACCCACATCCAACCAATAGAATCAGCTTCGGAGCAGCCCATGTCATTCCATTGCTCAAGGGCTGAATCCTGAAACCCGAAACGATTGGCATGTTAATAGTAATTTATTATACCAGACGATAATAGTTATGAAGACACAAGTGGTAAAAGTGATCTTTTATTTTGCGAGTACAAAAGGTTGCGAAACGAGGCCAATATGGCGAGGGGCACCGTCCAACGACCAAAATAAAATCAATTTTACCACGTGTGTCATACTCTATTTTTTTAGACAGCCTTACTCACTTTTTGCCCTTTTTGTCCATTTTATTCTTTTTGACCTTTTGTCTTTTTGGTTGCTTTGGTCCTTCCGATCCGACGAAAATATTTTATTTTCTGTGTTGTATTCACATATTTCTTAGAACACTAAGAGTCTCGTCTCACTTTTAGTACTAGTGCTAAAATTTGAACATTTCAGGCGCTAGGCATGCCTTTAAAAGAGTCGCTTTTAGTAAAAAAAGATTTTTCTATGAGAAATATTACCTCTCGAGTGACGAAGAAACGGTGAAGTATCTTTCTCGAGTAGATAAAGCTTGTTTATTGTCGGGTGTAATATTTTATTCCACTTTATTCGGTTTTTTAAAAAAACACGATATATCTTACGTACTTAGGAAAGGAGGCAAGGATTGGTAATATTGAGAATTAAGTGAAGGTTGTTGAGGTGCTAGCTAAAATTCGAAAGCGATGAACGCATGACGATTAAGTCGTGATATTTAAAGTGAAAATACATAATTAGTAGCGTCTTCAAGGAGTTTGCGAAACCTTCGAGAATTAATTAATTATAATTAAGGAGTGGATTTAATGAAATGTCATTTTTTCTTTAGAACAATGCCATTTAGTATAGAAATTAATTTTATATTAAGACAAAATGAAATGACCTATTTTTATACGTCATTTGTTTGCATTTTTCGTTGATTGTAAGCCATTTTACTTTTTACATAATTTTTAATTCTATTTTCCCATATCTCGTCGATTTTAACATCATTTTAATTGTACTTGCTTCAAACAATGTTTACAAGGTGCAAGAAATGTTCACCCAATAGTTACGTAGGCTATTCAATTTCTTCGCACATAATACGATAAATACATATTACAATATATTATATTTTAATGTCAGCCGTTGTGAGCACTACGTAATCTAAGCACTATGTAAATGTCTTTAGACGCTTATCGGTGCCATTGTTAGTTTGGCTGATTTTGCGATAAGGGTAGAAATTTTCTTTTAAAGAACAGTGCTAACCAAACGTTGACAAACTGAGTTCACTTGAACAAAAAGCCTCGATTACATCAGTAACATACCCAACCGCTTGAGTTGTTCATCTGGAGTGGTTTTAATCAATTTTTTACGTAATTTTTCCTTTGTTTTAGGGCATTTTAAGAGCATTTTATTGAATATTTTTGACAATGTTTCGATCATCAAAATCCACCTCCTAATTATGATTAATCGGAAAATCCGAATAATCCAATGACGGCTCGAAATACCGAAAAATCGAATGACAGCAAAACCTCTAACACGTGGTGTAGCCAACATTACTGTTTTGTGGGTCCTTGATACCGAAAACTCGAATTACGGCAAAGCATCTGTCTGTCCGTCCGTCTGTGAACAATGCTAGTGGCTAAACCGTTCAGCGGATTTGCTCCAAAACTGATATCCCCCATTCGATCTGGCTGATGTCGATTGATGTCTATTTGAATTTGAAACTGATATTTTAAATTTGTTGAGTACTTTACATTTTCCCTGGGACATTTTCAAAAAAATGGTTCCAACGTTTTTTAATTAAACTTCGTTATTAGATAGTGTAAAGGACGTTTAAGAAAATGGTTTAAGTGTCATGTTCGTTGAAAATCCTGCGTTTTCGAAAATTGAAACAATTTAAAATTTTTTCGACGCCTTCCTACAACTACAATTGGAGAGATACACGTTTTTCTTCATGAGTGTGTTCATCAAAACAGATCTTCAAATAAAGTCTTGTTGAACTTTTGGATAATATGAGTATTTTTTGCGTAATTTGGTGTTAAACTTAGTGGCTTGCGCCGAAAGTCGTCCGCATCGTGAACGTAATTTTAGAGGTGTTTTGAGCCAGTTGGATGGTAGTTACATGTTAGAATGTGTATATTATTTTATATTTCTTCGTTCGTTTATTATATTCGAGATTTTGTTATACGTTTACAAATTAATCTCTTATTTAAAACCTAAAAGAAATATATGAAATAAAAATTGCTAGCCTTCAGGGAATATCATACTGCAATTCAACAATTTCTTTCCGCGTCGCGAATCATGAATTTATGTGAATTACGTCTCAGTGTTGTGACATGATTTACCTGTATGAAAACAGTTGTCATTACCAAATTTGTGACGATATTTGCTTGAAAATATTTAGTTTTCGCACCAAATGTTTAACCATTTGTAACGAGTTCTACAAAAATTACAACTGAGATGTGTTATTTCGGAGAGAAGTTGTGATATAAATAGTATTACATAGGCGTTACTAAAAGCGAGAAAGTACATACTGTTTTAGCACTACTAGTTGTTTATTGTAACGGTCAGAATCGAACAAATCGATTGAAAATAATCTTGAATTATCTTTATCATTTATAGAAAATTGCAAGGATAATTAAAGTTAATATTTGTGGGCGAAATGTGGTTAAAAAAATTAAAGAGCTAATGCAAGCTTAACAATTAAGAAGCCTAAAAGTCGTTTTTGCCATTTGTGGGAAGTACTTTGGGTAAATTGATGTAAATGCGTTGAAAAGTTTTTTTTTAAACTTTAATTACGATTTTCAATATAAAAAAATGTATCCCAAGGGCAGTTTTGCCAATCTTAATTTAATACCCACTTTGATTGTGAATGTTTCGTCAATTTTTACCCTGCATCGAGCATGTTTAGCTATTTCTTATTGCATGTTTGCATGCATATTTTATCATGATGAATTGTCTGCCTGAGAATCCTGTCTCTAATAATGAGTTTTTTAAAGTGATGGCTGAGATATGTTAATATCGACGAAAATTAGGGTATTATAAAATTACATAACCGTAACAAAATGTGAGAAAGTGTGTGCTATTTAGCATTGCTAGTATCCACTGGAAAGGGGTTTTAAAAATAGTGGTCTCATTTTCCTTGAATTGTCTCTGAATTTTCGAAATTTTGCAGCAGTTAGAAAAAATGCAAGAAAGAATGTAATGCTGTAGCAGCACAAGATAATCTGAATAGTATTGGCAAGGGCAATTTGCGAGCATGAGCCATAACTTCGAGGCCGTCTCTAAAATTAACAACTTTTGAAAATTTCGCGTTGTGAAAGACATCACCGTAATTCTGAATTGTTGATTATAAAAGAGTAAACAGAAGAGAACATTTACCGAGAGTTCATAGTAATAGAGTAACTTCACGTGCATATTGTGATAAACGGGGTGAAGAAATTCCTATTTACCTATGAAAGTACTTTGTTTAGACTTATATTTATTCAGTTGAAAAAACAGGACTGAATAAATCTAAATCTAAATAGCAACTCGCCCTTACCTCTACTCCTACTTCTACAAGCAAAAGGAGAGTTGAACAAAAGGTGCGCATAGTGAAGCTACATTTACGTCCAAAAGCAAAACAAGGGGCCATCTGTTTTGATTATACGTACCCATAATTGGAAAGCCAACAGATCACAGTGTTTTACTCCAGGGATGTAGAATAACATATGTCTTCCCTGCGCAACTTGTAAGAATGGTTTCGATGATGGCAATCTAGGACCTGGAAAAAATGTGAAAATTTACTAACGACCATCGCTGGATTCGTATCAAATGGACAGTGAAAGGCAATGCCTGATAATGGAATTGCCTGAAATAAATTAATGGAAATTTCACCTGCCGTACATGAAGTGGCCGTGTTCGTATCGACGTTATCTAAACTAATGAAAGAGAATTGAAATGACGCGTATGATTCATCGAGTTTACAAAAAAGTTATTTCTATGAATTGATGCAATTACTTTACCAATTCTTCTTTTAGCATTCTCGCAAGTACAGTGCAACGTTTAGAAGAGATCGGTGAAACGCAAGGACAGGAACGTAAGTCGCGTTTCAATTCGCAAGAAACGTAGTTATACAATGTGACCAACTGTTGGCCTAACGATAGATTTATTTGTTAATTTATATGTGAGATAACTCTAGCGGCGCGCAAGATAAAACTTACAGAAACTCCTCGGAGTGCCGTTAGTTGTCGACTTCACTGACCAGTTTAGTAAAGAAAGCTTCTGATAGTAGTTACGCACAATGTCGCTGGAATTTGATAACTAATCCTAAAAACTCTTTCGTCGCATCCAAAAATTTACTTTGAATTCCTTCTTGCTGTTCTGTTCGATTTTCTCGTGATATCGACAGTTCCGAAGACGGATAAGGCCCGCACACTGTTTCGGGTGTTCACTCTCTATTCCGGTGAGGTTTTGCTGTACAGGTAAAACTGAGCGTGTGTGCCAGCAGCTGATCGCCAAACTTCACAGGCGACCGAAGAAGAATCGAAATTCAATTCGCTCGACCTGCACAGACGTGTAGATGCGAGCGTGTGTGTGTGTGTGTGAATCACTTTGGCACGCCAGTACAGTTGTTAAGTTGTGACTAGTTCCTTGAGTAGAGAGCGTCGGTCGTTTTTACTCTCGCACTTACGAACGAAGAGATAGTATTGTCATCGTGCACCGGAATTTTCGACACAAAAGCCCTTATTGCCAGGCCCTGGTAAGGAAAAAGTGGATAAATCAAGTTGCTAAACGTAGAAAAAAAGTTCCTTTAACACGTGGTATAGCCAGAATCCATGTTTTGTGGATCCTTGATACCAAAAAATCGATTGACGGCAAAAATGTCTGTCCGTCGCGTGCACAACGCTGGCGCCTAAACCGTTCAGTCGATTTTCTCCAAAATTCATATTCCGCAATCATTCTATCTGATGTCGCGGACTCTTAGAACTTGAAACCGAAGTTTTCATTTTGGGGGTACTTAACCTAAAGCTCCTGGGTCATTTTATAAGTTTTCAAAAAAATGACTCCAAATTTTTTGATTAAATTTTGTTGTTGAATGGTGCAAAGGACGTTTAAGAGAATGGTGCAGGTCTTATTTTCGTGGATATCACCAATTTTTTATCAATTTTTGATCAATATCAACAATTGAAAGAAAAAAAAGTTCAAAATTGAAGATAAAGATTTTTGTCTCAGACAAAGTTTGTTGTATAAAATTAGCTCTTCAAAAACGTTCGGGTACAATTTTTTGAAAACAACGAGTAGTTTTGTATAATTTCTGCTTGAAATTATTGAAATATATAGAGGTTTCACATTAACTACGCACCACCTATTTACAGCAAAAATGGCGCATTTACGAAGAATTTAGACAGAAATATGGATATAGACAGAAATGCGATACAAAATTATTACATAACCGCTATTTAGGCGAGAAGGTATGTGCTATTTAGCGCCACCAGTAATATTTACGTGTACAATAGTGTTAAATACTTGTGACCACGCCCAACACACACTTTTTTCAGCATATTGTAGATGACTTCACATGTATCAGAAATTATTTTTCCAAGAGCTTGGAGAGGCATTCGTACAATCGACCCGTTGCAAGAAACCTCAAAGTAGCTGTCAGTCTCTCATGGGGAGAAAAAGAAATAGAAGATTTTTCTATTGCAATAGAGGTAAAAGTGACAAAAGCTTTTGGTAGACTTCATTCATCCGCAAAATAATTACGGTAATCTGTAGGATTTGATCTAAACTCTTTTAGTAATATTATATGAGTGTATTCATTTCTCTTCGTAAGCAAATCTTTACATCACGCTTTGCGTTTTCGCTTTTTTACGTTTTGTGGCTACTAACAAACCGACAAGAACGATCGTGTCATCTTCTGGTTTGCTCGCCATCACTCGACGGAGTTAGAAACTTTCGGTTAGCGTGTGTGTGCTCTTGCACGGGTATACCTTTCCGGGTTTAACCTGACAGGTATATTGTAACGTGTGTGATGGGGCATTGAGATAAAGGCACGGCTTTTCGTCGACCGCCAATTTTGAGTACGGCAAAGAGATTTCAACCGAGTTTCCTTTACTATGTCGGAAGTTTTCTCTCCGAATTACTTGGTCTCGAGAAAAATGTTTTCTGCACACCACTGAACTTGATGATGGTGTTCAATTTCCTCCCCGGAATGGCGCTAATCCATGCCTTTCCTCACTGTTTGGGAAGCGAAATGTGGATTTCCCCCCTCCTTCTTTAAGGCGCTATCCATTAATTTAAGACGCCATTCAGTAAATTACATATTTAACAACTTTAAAATATTAGCCGCGCACGTGATCCATCATTTAGTTTGGTTATCAGACGTCCTAATTTATTAGGGCATGTCCTGATTTTGGATCTTGCCCTGTCTGTCTTGATTTGTTTTAAAATTCCTGATTTTTTTTATTGTGTCGTCTATTTATTGTTTATTGTAATTTCAATATCTTTAACAAATATTCACAAAATAAAACTGATTTAGAGAAAAAAAGTGATATCAGAAGTGAATCTCAGTGTTTATAACTCTAAGAACAATAATTATGTCTTATTCTTATATTGTACGGGAAATGTTGAAACAGGGGTAGGAAAAATCTTTAATCATAAAGCTGCCGTAGTCATAATTTACCGTGCAGTGCACAATTAACTTACATATTTATCTCTTCTGTGGTAGTACAAAAACTGTACCTGTATGTCATAATAAAAAGTTTTCTGACTTTTGTGTAATGTCCTGATTTTTTAATCCAATGATCCTGATTTTTTCAACTACACTAAATGACTAAAAGTATCCGGACACGTGGGTAGGTCTTTCGTAACTCAACTAGATACGAGGTGAATGGAGACTTTGTCGACGGGACTATATCATTTGTATCTCGTTTTTCGAAGCAAATAAGTTTCTATTGCACGCACGTGAGAATATATTATTAAACTCGTAATACTCAACAACGCTCCTTTCCATAATTTATTTTAAATTCAAATAATGTTAGTAAAGGAGATGTGGTTCACGAAACTGTGTGCGTCTATAATGCCTTATTCATTATTATGTTTCACATATCACACAACTGTGTGATTCCTTACCTTTTTCCTTTTTTTTGAAAGCATGTTCACTAGCCCGAGGTTGAACGGTTTGTGTAGTCAATTCTTCATATTCAAAAAGATCGCGTTCTTGTCCAACAATACCGTGCAGGCAATTCACTAGTAGCACCACATACAAAACATCCAATACTATTCTCAACGGTGTGTGAGCCATTGAAAAAGGAAGTGACAATAGCCCGTGGCGGAGGTCACTTTGTTTTCAAGAGATCGTGGTTTGAATTGTCTTTCTCATCTATTAAAAATATACACAATATTTCTGCCGCTTGGCAACGGAAAAGAACAACGTAGACGCCGTTGCATAAAGCTTTCCATATGAGTGTCTTAACAATGTGTTCAATAAAATTTATAGGTTCGACAGGCTGTACACCGTTGCATAAAGCAAATGTATGGAATCTATAACTAAAGATTCTATAAAAACTTCGAGATGCAACCACTAGATGGCGATGCAGTTGATAATTAAATACAGTTGATTCAGTATTTTGTTTTGCACGTTTTAGCGTGTACTTTTTTCCGGCACGGTATAAGATAAATATTACATCGTGGCTCCGGGGTGATGTGTTTGGTTCTACGTTCTCAGTAGCAATTTGGTTTTATTTAATTATCTTCATTTATATTAAATTGATTTATTTTCCATTCTTAATTTTATATATTAATTTTTGTTTATTTAATTATTAATAAATAATAATTACAAAATACTATTGAAATATCTCTCAAACAAGGAGTAATACGTAATTTGCTTTCTAAACAAATAGTAAACTATGCAATGTGAATATATGTAGTACCATGGTACCACCATGGTATACTATACAATGTGTATAATCATTGATGCCAATAGAGCCCAGAAGTTATGGACGAGCTAGGAGCCGTTAAAGCGGAAGCTGTAGTAACGTTGAAGGTCCCTGTTGGAGTCTGCTTTCCCTGACCATTGTTCGTGCGTGACCCTGAGACGTTACGTTCAAAAATCGAAGTACAGTAATATCTGTCTAAGCCGGAATCGATCGGGACACAAAAAAATCCTGTTTAGAGAGGTTTCCGTTTTATTCAACATGGTCCACTTTATGACACTTGCGATATTGACATTTCTGCCCTGAAAGTAATTTACATGATGTTATCGCAATTATCAAAATACATTAACATAACTAATTTATGAAATTAATCACCAATAAATGAATATTAAACACTCTCCATTGACAGCAGCTAAACAGAAAAATACACACCTTACTGGCTGTATTCGAACTTCTTGCTTACTCTTTCAACGCACTATGCGTCATATCCCAGTACTATGACTTTCTGATACACTCGCATATCCTCGAGAAATGCCTATCTGGTCGAGAGGTTATGATTTTCAACGCGGGGCAGGGAGCGCGTGAATAGAAACCACGCCCATATACCTTTCCATGCCCAGAGTCGGGAGGGGATTCCCCTGTGGCCTACGCCTCGAGGGACAATCGATTCCAAGTCGAATTCTACCTGACAGTTGAAGCCTCTCTCCGTTAATGTCCCGCTGCCACGACTATATCGCGTGTGACAGAGATAAAGAATTTAAAACAGGCTTGCAAATTCATTCATTTCTTTAAGAACATCTCGCGTCTCTCTGCCAATTGCATTAGGTTCTCAAGAATTCCGTTTTATGAAGATTGTTTTTCTTGCAGGTCATGAAAATCCGTTCCGTTTCCGCGTTGGAGAGGTGCCATTCTATACTGAGTAAAATGCCATTTATCTTCACGGACCGAAGACATTTTCCGGTTAAAGCAGGTTTCCTGCTTGTACAGGGTCCGATTTAGACAGATTATATTGTATATAGGCATTTTTAGTACTATTTCAGGACCTGTAAGAGATACAAAATCTATAGGTTCCATAAGTCTTATTTATAGGTTTCAGAAGGACATTTTTCCGTATAGACTATTTTATAGAACCAATAGGCTTATGGATTCCATATCGAATATTAATGCAACCGGTCCGTGTGTACTTGATGCAATCGAAGACATGGTGTGGGAAGATTAAGGTATGACAGATTTTCTTCCAAAACATGTCGTCTTCTGGGCATGACGTCATTCTTGACCCATGAGGTTAATGTTTCTACAGCCATTATACCATGGTGAGTTGCAGTAGTATTTGGCGTTTTCTATATTGGTAATTTGGAATATTGCTTTACGTGTAATCTATTTCATTACGAGGGTCCCGCTGAACTGGCCCCGTCGTAGCGTGTAATATTCTTTGATTTTGGGCGGACAGCGAATTCTAGCGGCTAGAATAGGAATCGTTTGGTCTCCTGTGATACGTAGCAATTTATTTACAGGCAGTTGTGGGCTTCTGTTGCGGCTTTCGTTTATGTCTAATATGTGTAATAAATAATTCCACTGTATACATGTATATATTAGCGTACCCGTGAGAGATCTCGCATGTTAATCCCCACCCTTTCCCTATCCTTTCCATTTAGAAGGAAAGTTGTTAACGAAACTTGCTTATATGTTTAAAAAAATGTATAAATATTACGTCGTACTTACACAATATTAAAACAAAAATAAATACAATGCAATAGACGTTGGAAACAAATGTTCAATAAAGATTTATTCAGTATTACAAAGATATGTTCTTCGAACAATTCACACTTCCTTAAAAACATTCGAAGTGCCTTGAGAGTTTATTTTTCAAGTTCCTTAATAGTCACTAAATTACTAGAAAAAGATTTTTGCTCTTGGGAAGGAAAAGTTATAAAGGTCGGGTTAGAGCCCAGAAGGTATGTATGTATACCACTAAAATTATATATTTATGCCACCTATATTTCAATTTTTTGTGGTTGTGGCCATCTTTGTGACGTCACGTTTAGATTCCTCTATCTTATACTTTTTACGCTTTTTGTGTATTTGTAGTAACTAATTGTGTAGGGAACTACGTTGGAAACGGACCACGTGTTTTAGTTTCACGCTCAAAACAATAAAGGATAGAAGTGCACCCTCAATGTTTAACGCCGGAAACAAAAGTCGCTCGCAGCACTCCGAGTGGCCCGGCAAAGAACTACAGAACCCGCTCGCCCAGGGCAGAGTATGCAAGTTAATTTTTACTCAATCGTGTTCGCGAAAGTTAATGGATATTAATAGGCTACATTCTACAGCACTGTTTCTAAAATATTAATTATCTATTTTGGTAATGCAGTTGGTTAAGGTCATAACTTAGGAGAGTTATCTAATTATGTGGTAATGGCAGAAATGAAGGAATGGAATGAATAAACAAAGAAATATATAAATAAATAAATCATTGCCTTTATTGTACAATTTATATTAAACAATATTCAATACAGACTTCAACATTTTAAATTTTTTTACCTTTGCATGGCCTTTTGTATATTTTCTTTTAGTTTGTATTTTCTGTTTTTCATCTATTACATATTTATACATTAAAAACGCACACACTTTTTAAAAATAAATTCTTCGGATAAATGCACTTAACAAAACAATGTATCATCAGGTGATTTGGAATTAGAGCTAAACATTCTCTCCAAATTATTTAAATGGCCATTTGTTTTCTAGAAATGTATACAAATATTCATGAACATCCTTTAAAAACATTAAATTAAATAACAAATCCTAATAAATAATTACATTACATAAAAAAATACATGTTTTCCTTATAGTGTTATGTGAATACAGTAGGCTACAAATTTCATATAAATAATCGTGAATGACATTTTACATTAAATGCTAACCTCTATACTGCGAAACTTCCTTGTATTCCAACAGCAAATCGAAATGAGAAAACTCGAAACTGTCGGGTTGGGTCCCCTAAAACAAAAAATCTTGAAATGCGAAACACACATGAACACACAGAACACTAAAGTAACTTATGAACGTAACCAACGGCAATATGATTCACTCTTCCGCCATGTGGAAATCGCATGCAGGCTGGATGTGACGTACAAAAATCCAAGCGAAAACCACTAACCAATCATTGCTTGATATTCTTTCAACTAGCGCTCCAAGTGGCGTGGCAGTGTGTTGCCAATTTTCCTATCTCACTCCCCTGTGCATTTAACCGTGGAAATCGCACGTGTGTGTCATGAATGATTCGTTCAGCAGAAACGACTCCCGATGAATCCAAAGTCAGAAGGCGCGAATAGTGAGTTAGAAAGATGGAAAGGCGGGATTTGGGGTAGTTTTTGGATTTGTGACAAGAACTGAACGAGAAGCGTGTGTGTTAAAATGGCACAACCTCTGCCTATTAATCGTGAAGTGGAGAGAATGTGTTCTTATCTTGCTTCATTGTCTTACACTGTAACTCGTGATTGGTTAACGGGATGTGTGGAGTACTTCAGAGATGAAAATTCACATGTACTGTCAGCTGATATAATTGTTGTAATTATTGTTTGTTTGCACGTACTTCAAAGTAATGTGAATATTTTTCTTTCAGTATAGTGTGTCAGATTTACAAGAATTTGTGAGAAAACAATGGGAACTCTCAGACCTTCGAGATAGCAGTGGAGGTAGTTTGCCACCTAATTTGCAGAATCAAATGAAAATTACTTTAAGAGGAAAATATGCTGTTCAGGTGTGTGTTGCTAGTGAGTTATACAATCACTTTTGACCTTCCTAGCCCTTCATTCCTTGCTCCTGACTTGAGATATGAGTGAAGTGACTGGAACGGACTACTGAAGATGTACTGTTGGAAAAGAAGTAAATATTTATTTTTTTATGAAGAGGATATACCAAATTCACATTCATGATGTATTTACAATGTACCATGTGTCAAGTGCAGAAAATATATTCATGAAATTGATAAATTACATTATGTATGAGATAGAGAAAACAATTTAGATAAACACATTTCTTTGTAGAAATGGTTTCCTGTGTTATATAATTGTTTCAATGTCTTTTCTGGAAATTAAGTGAGCGAAGGTTAAGAGATATAAATCCATTTCCAGAAAAAAAAGAAGTTTTATTTGTTTTGAGATACTGAAATATAAGTATTGCAATGCATGTACCATAGTGCAAATAAAATATTTCAGTTATAGAAAACTGAATGAAAATTTTGTGTCTCCTAATAAAGAAGATCTGACCATCAGTAAAAGTTCCCCCTTGAAATATTATGAAAAGTGGACTTGTCAACTCCATTTCTCCTACCCTTCATACCAAATACTATCAATGTAAGCAGATCCTGACATTATGAATTGGTTTCTATTTTTCTTAGTGTTTTTGTTTTGTTTTAAAGAGGAGTAGATTTATAAGTACACAGTGTTTTTGTCAATCTGCAATAAAAGTATGAAGTATTATGTGAAAGTGTATTCACTTGTGGATGACTACAGTAACCCCGTTTTGATATTCATTGAAAGAATAAATCATACCAAGTCCTTTTTGACTACTTATTTCTAAATGAGTTTATTTTCTAGCTGTTTTTTTTTAGAAAATAGATAGGTGTGTAACTTTTGTCTCAAAATTATAAGAAGTACAAATCACATTACTTGTACAAACTTTATTTCACCACTATATTAGTGCCATTCTTGAATTGCTGTGTGCATTACATGCAGATCTTCTAAAGCTTAATTATTTAAACTAATGCCCCGACCCTTTTAGGTTACAGGGTCGAATGAGAAGAAACTCTATATTTCTAATGTCCTGTGTCCAATGAAAACTCAGTATTTCATATTTAAGTTGGCGTTTCGAAAATGAAATATAGTTTCAATTATATATATATAAAAAAAAAAAGTAATAGCTGTTTTATACTTTTAGATTGAATCTGTGCTTAACATCAGTGAACCTGCTTATAGCCAGATGCAGAAAATACGTAAAGTAGATATAGGAAACGTGGAAGTTACCGAAAAGAAACAAGAGTCGTGGGAACCCAGAGCTGGGCGAATGTTGAAGTTAAAAATGTGTGATGGACAACGGCAAGCAGAAGCTATTGAGTATAGGCCAATACGTATGCTCAATGAACATATCTTACCTGGAACCAAGGTATGGTGCTTAGATATTATTGCTTTAGTTAAAGGTTCAGGATTGAGAGAAATGCCAGAATAGAGTTAGTTGTAATTTGTCTAAATGAATCTAATTAGTCGTAAATGAAAAATTGATTATTGTATTAAATCATGTACCAATACAATCAGTTAATTTTAGTTCAAATTAATTAAAATGCTACATGCTCAATGAACACACACATTGTCATGCTAATTAGCGAGCCTCATATCTCTATATTTCCTCCTCTATTTTCTGTTAACTTCATGTTAAAGTATAATGATGAAGGAAGAGTAATAAATAAAAGTAAATAACAAATCGAGCATCTTAAATAATTGAGTTCCCCAGTATTTATATGTTCAACAAAAAAGGAAACTAAAATTCTGCTTCCTGTCAATGTTTATTATTTATATCGCAAAACTGTCTAATGTCCAAACGGTTACAAGGATTGCGTATTAGTATGACAATATTCACAGTCATTTTAGGCATTAAATTTTGAACTTGAAGAGAAAGAATGAACAAAATGAAAACTATCCTATTAGAAGAGGGTAAAGGGCCCTCAGAACTCACCTCACAAGTTACACCTTAAAATTGTGGAGGTGAAAATATTTTCAAAATTAGTGTAGTTTTAATGACAATGTTAATTGAAATGGTTTAATTTTCAATGATGTCAAATTTGCATATGTGTATTTGGTAGAATAAATTATGTCAAAACATGATTTTAAGCAAGTGTCAAATATTGTTCTGCTACTTTGTGGCAAGGAAAGAGTACAAGCATTTCTTTATAACATTGTGAATTGTAGACAAAGAAAGTTGAAAAAAGTTTAAAAATTGAGATCTTTAAAATCAGAAAATTTATTTCCTTCAGATTTTGATAATTGGGCCTGTGGACTGTCGAAGAGGCGTTTTTTTCCTGAAACCAGAGAATGTGAAATTGATTGGTGGTGAAGTGGATTCTCTTTTAATTGTTAACCACATGGAGAATGTTTTGGCACGAGCCTTGTAAGTTTTGTTTGTGTTACACATATTGTATTTCTTTGGAATTGAATTCTGTCTAATGTGCATTTTGTGTAACTTAAATGACTTATCTTAGTATTTGGATCCTGAGTAATGCTCACCTTTAAAAGTTATACTAATATGGTTTATGGTAATCATTATATATACTTACATACGTATACTTATATAAACTTATGCATGTATAAAGTTCTGTGAAAAATACTGATTTTAACGAGCATAGAAGCAGTGGTAAGTTGAATCTGTTCTTACAGGATCACAGAATGGAAAAAGAACATTAGGCAAATGTCTAAATGTTTCTAGTTTTGTAATACATATCCTTAGTAAGCCTTCTGTGTTAATAGTTACTTGTTATTGTATTGAATTAGACATGATGGGAAAAGTTTTATGAAAGGAGTAAAGCCCCTAAAGTCATCGAAATGTAAGGGAATTTTGAATATGAATTAATAAGCTACTTCATATTGAAATTGATTTTGTGTATTTCCAGGGGTCTTCCAGAAAACCAAGATCCCTTTTCAAATGCTTCTGAGGCTTCAGCAACTCAACTTTCAGCCCCTGCAGTTTCTGACTCCCAGAGGAGCACTTACACACCATCAGTTGCTGCCACTCCTGGAGCACCCCACGGCCCATCTGGAAGACAGTTAAATAGTGATGTGTCAGAGAGGAGGATGACCCAGCAACGAATACAAGATATGTTCAGGAACAGGCCAACACAGGAAACTTCAGAGGATGCTCTTAACACATCTTTAGACGGTACAGGTTGGACTGTGGATGATCTTTTGGCAGAGGGAGATGATGCATTCTTGGCACTAGCAGAGGAAAGAACTGTTGTTGCCGTTAGTTCTAGTTCTGCATCTACGACAACCAGGCTTGCAAATGATGTTCCCACCAAATATTGCCCAGGGCAAAGTAGACAGAATGCTTCTTCAACAGCTGGAGGAAACTCTGTGTTCAAAGTACCTCAAGTACCAGCCAACAAATCCAAGCAAATCGGTAATCAGAAAACAGTTACTAACTCAAGCAATCTTTTTCTTGCAGACGATGCTTACATTGATGCTTTTGATGTGGAATGGGAGGATGAGGAAATGAACGAATTTGTTAATATTTCATCTGAGTTTGCTTCCAGTTCGACTTCATCAAAAACTCCTTCTGTAGTGAAAAATTCCAGTAAAAGTGAACAATCAACTTCAAAAATTGCAAACACAAGTTCTTTCAAATGGCCTCAAATGCCACAAAATAATATGCAATGTAAGCAGTTGAATGCTGGTCGGTCTTGTCTAGAACCAGAACAAAGTTCACGCCCTAGGAATTGTGGTAGTGCAATGCGACCAAGTACTATAAATCAAGAAATGAAAGAAGCTTCTGGTAATCAGGTGTCACCAACTAACATGCAGAGTTCCAGAAGTTCTACAGGAAGTTCGAGTAAAAATTCAAATGCAAAAGTACAATTCTCATCTGAGTACTCGAATCCAGTGCAGGGTAAAGAATCTTTAAAGAAAATGATTTTCAATAAAAGCACACCTAAAGACTTCGCAGACAAAGAACAAATGCCTAAAACTTTTGATCAGCAGCCATCCAAAGACAAAAACTTTTCATCTCCTCCAGATGTGTTTGGAGATGATGAAGATTGGGCAGATGCATATTTAAGTTCACACAACTCAAGTTTCGTTAATAAATTTGATGATCTTGATAAATTATCTTCTCCAAAATCCTTATCCAATCATATGGACTTTCCTCCACGTGGTGCAACAAGTGCTTTAAAGAGGCCATCTTTATTGGTTGATGATACTAAGTCGACAAAAAAAGGAACTTGTGAAGGACCATCGAAGAGTAATGTGTCGGACCAAAGCAGTAATTTTGTGGGTGACCGAAAAGCTTTTCTTGAATCAAGATCGCATCTCCGCCCTGCCATTAGTAGTCCTTCGTGCTTAAACAAAGAGACAGAAATCCCTCCCAAGGCACCAGCAGCATTGTCTACTTCCAGTTGTAGTTCTCTCAATAGTAAGCCATCCACTAGTAGCTCAAGTTCATCTCCCAGTACAGTGATATTGCCAGCAAGCGCGAACCTTGATTCGGTTACATCGCCCAAGTCGAGCTCATTGATGTCACCAGAGCCGTATGAGGATCTTGTGCATATTCTCAAGTCTCCTTCAAAGACGTCAGGGACGCACAGGATCAAAGCAACTATAATGACTCTTCTATCTCAGCTTAAAGTGGAGGCAGGGCACGGATGGAGCTTGTCTGTGAAACTCCGGGATGGGACTGCCACTCTTGATGCACGCTTTTCTCCTCTGGTAAGACTGTAATTTAATTTGAACACTTTAATTTAATCTGACAGAAAATAAACAGAATCACACAACCGCACACTTAAAAGTTTTTATTCTTCATAAAATGAAGTTCATTGCGTGATGTTTCGAGGATATGCTTTTCTCCATGTACAATGAATGCAAGAGATTCTTTTTTTTATTTTAGAGAACAAAAAAGGAAAGGCTGGTCTTTAAAGTAAAAATATAAAAATCTCGTGTTCATTGTAGCCTGAAGATGGAGAAAAAATTATCCACGAAACGTCACTCAATGAACTTTGTTTAATGAAAAATAAAACCTTTTAATTGTGTGATTCTGTGTTTGCGTTTCTAAATATTTGAAAACTTCTGTCTGTCAGAAAGTTTATGGTCAAATACTTATGAAAAGAATGAATAGTGACAGACAATTTTCTGATTTTTATGTATAATTTAATTTGAAATTTGCATTCACGAAATTTGTAGATCAAGTTTTATTTTTTGCAAGGACAGACCCAAAACATATTTGGGGAATTTCAGTTCAAAACACACCTCCCGTATAGTCATTCAGAAAAATGTCAGAGTAAAAATTGACAGACACTCTTTATCATATTTCGATATTGCCAGTGAGACATAATATTTCATTAACATCAATAACTAGGAGGGAATTTTGATGACCTAAAACATTGACAAAAATGACTAATAAAGTGCTCTTATGCTTTAAAAATACCCTAAAAACAAAGAAAATGGCGTAAAAATGTTGTTCAAAACCTATTCAGATGATCAACTCAAGCTGTTGGGTATATTACTGATGTAATAGAGCTTTCTTCCTTTTGCTGACATGAACTCGGCTTGCACTGTTGCACTTGCTTTGATTTGGACTGAGCTTTAAAAGTAAATCTCTGCTTTTATTTATCGTGAAATCGGCCTCACTGACAGTGTTGCCTTGAAACATAACCGGAACCCTAGATTACATAGTACTCACTAATATATTCTAATATATATTGTATCATATTAAGAGCGAAAAATGGAATAGGCTACTCAGGAATTGTATGGTGAACATTTGTTGCATCTCGTAAATATTGTTTGAAGCAAGTACCATTAAAATGATGATAAAATCAATGAAATTGGTAAAAAATGCAGTAGAAATGACGTAAAATGGTAAAAAATGATTACTAGTCATTCTCGAGGAAAAATGCAAAAACACACACACACGTTAAAATGGGTAATTTTGCTTCGTCATAACATAAAACAAATTTTTATACTAAATGGCATTGTTCTAAAGTGAAAAGAAAAAACATAGCATTCCATGAAAATCCGCCCCTATTAATAACAAAACTAACATCTCACTCTTCTTACAAATCCTGCTCATGCAACACATTCACTGTTAATCTTTCTCAACATGTGTAATGCTGCTCAGCTGATTAAACGTGACATTGAAGTCTTACAATTAATTTGCTTTGTAATTTGAATTATCATCACTGTGTGGATGCCAAAGCTTCTGTTTTGTTGTTGCTTAGGTTGTGGCACTAGCATTGCCACGTGATAAACTGTTAACCACCTATTTTTATTTGTTGCATGGAATGTGCATTTTGTCTTGAAATTATGACTGCCCTTCTCTGTTCAGCTACTAATGTCTAGATCCTTTGTTTTCAGAACTCATTTTCCAATGTTTTGATTGCTTCTCTTGTCATAAATACTGCAGGTGACTTTTGTGTGATGATAAGTAAATTCACCAGAGTAGATACAAATTTTCATTTGCTATATCAGATTTTTTGTTAGTTCTTTTCATTCAGCCATACAAATAATACACCAACCTTTTCATTCAGCCTCAGTTCTCAAAAACTATATTTGGAGGGGTCAGCACAAAAGTGGTCTAAGCCACATTTTAAGGAAATGGAGAAAAATCAAGTTAAATTTCATAGTCTGGTAAGAAAGACTTGCGCAGTGAAAGAATACAAACTTCATTCTTAACTTGATAGAGGAAAACTAGTCCAGCCAACCATGTACAAAGCTAGTTCTCCTTCATAACATGGCATTATTAACTAATTTTTAATTTTTTTGAGGTTAGAGCACTATTGCGCTCAGCCCTTAATTTGTTTCTTGAATTTAGCAGAGATTTCTGGAGTTTATAGTTCAATATACCTAGATACTAGATATTAGGCACTAAAAAAATTCAAAAGAGGCCGGCAAAAAGACACCAACAATATTAAAAATACCCTCCGAAAAAGGCACCCAAAACCTGTTTTCATTAATTATTATCTGATAGTGACTTTATGTGGCAACAAAGGCCTTTCAAAGATACAATGCCTGTAAATATGAACAACAAGGAATGTGGTACAAAATAAATAAGTCTCTAAATTTTAGGATGTTTTCTAATAAATATTATAATTATCTAGGGTGTGGAAACTCGAAGACCATCACTAGACATCAGATGTTGAGGAAAATATTTTATTTTAATGAAAATATTTAAAGGCAATTAATATATGTTTAAGAATTATGGAAAATTAAACATTCTAACCTTTTTTGACTTTTATGAGGTAAATGCCTTTTTTGACAAATTTTTATTTTTAAATGCTGCTTTCTTAAAATTTATGAATATTTATTTCTAGTCTTGCTTTCAAACACACGTTTATATCATTTTCAGTTCTACTAATCATATTAATTGTCTTCTCATAACGAATCTCAATTTTTGGTCTATACCCAAGCTTTCATTTGGGTTTGCACATGACATTGAATTTTTGGAGCTAAAAAGATTGCATTATGACTTCAGATTACATTTCTTTGCACAAATAAAGAAAGAAAAGAAGCAGAGAGCTGTGCACATGTAGTTATGCAGTGGGAGCCTGTGTGTGCGCTGAACAAAGATTTGTGATGTAATCAAAGCATTCAGGGTCTCCAAACAACTTCCATCGTGGATATCTTTCCATGCCAGATGTCCTTCTGAGAAGTGCGCAGTTTAGGATGATCATTAGGAACTATATCTCTTGCGGGTGCCATGTGCGTCTTCATTCGTGTTTTGCTCGCAGTTGTCCAAGTTGTGCACCTCGTGAAGTATCTCTCCAATGTCTCCATGTAAGTGTAGTAATTGAGTTCAATCATGTGAAGATGTCAGTCATTCACTTACTAATGATTCGTTAATAGTTTATTCTCTCATGTTTTATTGTTTTTGGATATTGGCTAATTTTAGGTGCAAGTGCAGGAAAATATAAAAGTGATTTTTTGCTCCAGTTTTAAGCTTTTATTGCCTTTTTCAGTGTTTATTAAAATCATTTAAAGCTTTTTTTAGGCACCTAAAACGTAAGTTTTTAGTGCCTTAACATTCGATATCTAATGATCTTTTTGCGTTTGAACTTATAATGGCCAATTTCATAACACAAAGTTAGAAATGTGACATTTGCCTGTAATTGATTCGCATCTCTTCATTCATTTGGCAGATCACGCTTTAATGCAGACATTTTGTTGACCTGCCAAACACTAGAGTATGATGAGTTGTCAGGGGGCCATTTTCGGGACAAAACGGGAAAATCAGAGAAGTTCATTGCTCTGAAAGAGTCAGTGAAAAATCAGGGAATTTGTAGAACATTAGAAGTCAGGGAAAATTCTGAGAGTGCTATAAAACTAGATATTATTACTAAAAAAATAAAATATAGCATTACTTTTTGCTCAATTTTCTATTTGTTGAGCAAATATTGTTCATATGTAGTTTGTCATAGTGAAATCAAAGAACTGCTCAATTAGAATTATGCTTCCTTTTGTAGATTTTTAGTTTAAAATTACAAATATTGTCAGGTAATATTGAAAAATTAACTGTAAAGTCGGGAATAATGAGGAAAATTTGTTCCAGGAAATGAGTGGCCTTCTGCTTGTGTACTAATCCAGGAAAATGTCATGTACGTAACTTCGCTCTATATGTCCCATCGTATGTTGATTGGAATCGCTTGGTAAACTTTGACCCCTCTTCATCCTTGAGCTGTTTATTTAGGTTATTTATTCTGAGACAATCTGTATGTTTTATTTAACGAGGATATCAACATATAAACACATTTGGGCAACATACTTAATGTCATGGAACCCATTTTAAATGAAAGAACTGTTTGTACCACTACACACTGTGAACAGGGCCCATTATAGATCTCTTCAGTCATTAAAAAGTTGTCATTGATTAAACATTAATATTTTTCTTTGAATCTTCCATTTTTAAGTTTTGTCTTCTTTAAGTTACATTTTCAAAACAAAAAGATTTCTCCATGACAACTGACAGATGTACTGTTCAATTGACATACTTACATAATTTAAAAATGTTTGGTTCAATGTTAGTTGAAACTTGTTTTCTTTTTACCTTTTCAAATAATCCTCGCATTTGTTATGCCTGCTGTATGTCCTGTTTACAAGAAATAACCCAGTTGTGATTTTGAAGCAGGTACCGTTTGGTCTGGTAGGTGTGGGGGAATGAATTTCTTAAATAAGGTCCAGGGTGACTGATTTCTGGAAAATACAGGGAAATCAAAATGCAGAAATTATATAGGGAAATGGCTGGCCATTTAAACAAATGGGTTAATTATTCGAGCCTAAACCCAGACAAAGAAAGAACGGTGTATAGTAGAAAAAGAAATGAATAGTAGGGAAAGAAAGAGTGGTCCTTTAAAATGCTCTCTGTAGTTTTCAACAAAATTACAGTGCTCTCTTCGTAATTAGAACAGCAGTAATAATTGTACAAGCAATAATGGAAAGTTATTATTTTGCTGAGAAACTGTTCTACCTCTTCTACTAAACTTTTGTTTTCAATATCTTACTGATATTGTTATTCCTTATTCTGTCTCTTCTTGTGATTCCCATGAGGAGTCTTAGAAATCTCATATGTGCCATTGAAGTTTTTGCTTGTCTCTTGCTTTCCTTACCCATTTCTTAGAGCCATACATGATTCTATATTTAGTACCAATATAATGGAGTTTCAATTTTGTTTCCAGGTCCATGTCTGTGCCAAAGTCTCTCTTAATTATTCCACATATTCTATTGTAATTATTGATTTGGTTTTCTATGTCTTCCTAAGTTAGGTCGTATGATATTTCAGAGGTAGGAAAATTTATTTACTTTTTATGTTTTCGATATTACTAATTTCAATAATACCCTTAAATTGACAGTAAACTAAACAGCATCTGCCCTTGTGAAAGGTGACAGTGGTTTTGTTAAAACCCAGGAAGGCTTTAAACATCCAAAAACAATAGAACAGTTTCAATTTTGACTGAAAATTTCAAATATTTTAAATGGTAATCCACAAGTTCTCAAACCTGAGTTATTTCTATATTCTCATACTCATTGTGTCACTGCCAGCATGATTTTCCTGCTGGGAAAATGCTTCCTGAATTTTTTTTTTTTGCTGAGAAAAAAAAAAGCCAGCAAAACAGATTGAGGTGGTCAGTGGTCATCCTGTTGTTGTCTGTGATACCTAGTGAATTCTTATAAATTAAGCCGATAAGGAAATATTATTCGAAAAGATGTGTATGGGGGATTCTTTTAACCGTTTTACTAATGTGTGTTTATGTTGTTTAAAGTCATTTTCTCCCAATGGTTAATTGAACTTTGTGACTTCAAGAAATTTCTTAAGATTCCAAAATTTATTAATTGGGTCATTTTCTTATTAGTTTTAAGTAAGATCAGATGTGAGGGATTCCTTAGCTAATTAGCCTCTGTAAAGTATTTCAAAATATATTTTCTTAAAATAACAAATGTCCTTAAAGAAAAGAAAATCTTCGAAAAACACGACTCACAATGTAATGGAAATAAACTTGAGTGTCATCAGACAAGGAATTTAAAAACGTACAGTTAAAAAAGGCTTGACAATGGGTAAAAACATATTTTCTGTAAATAACTCAGATATATTGATGTGAATTTTCGTTACATTATTTGTATGATATCTCTAATTAAGTTTTGGCATTTCGCCTAACATCTGGTCTCTAACTTGAACCTTCTAAATTAACTTCGAACTTAAATTGATTCCAGCTCACTTTTTATTGCAACTTATTTTTAACTTTTCATTTGGGAGACTTTTCCATTACACTTCTTTAACTCCTCCGTAGTTAATTCAATCCAGTCATATTCATATGCATCTTCTCCATGGCTTTTTGCTGCAAGCAAAATTTTCATTGCAACCAAATGTGACTAGATTTCCTTCTTGTTCTGAGTTTTGGGGTGCTCAAAATATGAAGTAATAGGTAAACTATGTAAAAATATATAATTATACAAAAATATTTAAAAATGTGTAAAATAAATATAATCTATTTCTTTTGTAATGTTCTGTAAACTGTAAATATTTTTAAATGCAGCTATCTTGTTCCTGTAAATCCATGTTCCCTAATTATGACTTTAGAAGGATTCATGCATTCAGCTCATACTTATGATTGAGTTATGGAAGTATATGTGGCTGTTCTAAAATTTGATCTTTACTTGTTAGGTGCTTGATGAAATAATTGGAATGTCTGCCCAAGAATTCAAGAAAATGAAAAGAGACATTCCCAATAATCCTCTACTGAAGGAAAAACTAGTCAAGGTAATTATTATAAAAGCGGAAAAATTAATTTTACTATATTTTTCTGGGCAAAAATATTTTTTTTAGTTCTTTGAATTGAAATTTTCATTTTCTTTGTGTTTAGTTGCTTGTTTCCTTTTGTGATTTAAAGGAAGGTGTGCAATATATATGCTGCAAATTTCTGTACATGTTCTTTTGAACTTTTGTTTTCGTGACAGTGGTTCATTAGTTCTTTCATGTTTCATCTTTCATTTAATTTCCAATATACTAAATTCATTGACAATATTACCATGACCTACACGGTGATGAATTTGATCTAGCCAAGTATAGTTGCGTTCACATTTTGACAGAGAAGAAAAAGAAATATTATTTCACTTGAATTTTAGTAATCTTCTGATATAGAAGCATCTTAATGTAAAAGGCACATTGTAAGAAATGGATGCAAACCTCTTTCTTGCAATTATTTTTTAATTTTAATATTTTTAATTTTAAGAGACTTCTTTTAAGATAAAAAAAACACCCACCCCATCTGAAAATAGAGTTTTGGAAATTAGCATACCTAATGAGCACGTAAAATGCCACTGTAATAAATTATGAAGTTAAGTCATTTATTCTAATTGTGATTTTCTTTAATTTCTTTTGTTATTCAGGATTGATGAACTATCCCATTCCTCCTAGCTTTTTGAGAAATAGATTTTTACCTACGGAAATATATTTTTACTTGGAGTAGTATGAAGTGAATTATTTCTTTGAGGTAATGATTCTATATCAGATGTTGCCTTTTGTTTCAGAAACTGGAAAAGACACGGGATATACTAATGAATCTCAACTGTTTCTTTGACATAAAATTTGAAGCAGGTCAAATGGCCCAGATAATACAAATTAGTGAAATAACTGCACAAGAAGTTAATAAATCAAAATTACGATTGAAAGAGAGTTGAATTTGACCTAGACATTTTTTCTTCGAGATGTAATTAATCTGCTGTATGTTTTATAAAGATTACTTATCTTTAAATCTGCACTATATAGTAGAAAGAGAAAAATGAGAAAATACTCTTGCTGTTCATAAATGAACTTTTTAAATGACTGTTTTCAGTAATACATGTGATACTAGAATTAATATTTAAATGTGATATTAGATTTTGATTTCTGTTTTTAAACCTTTTTTAAAATATCTTTAGTTTCATAAGTACTATACCACTGACTAATTGGTCTTCGTATATTAAGGTTCCTATTTTATGTAACTCATCAATTAATATGAATCAGATTTGTATGTTTTTAAATGTAATGGTGTCAGTTTCTGCTCTGTGCTTTGTATTCTTAAGTTCCATTTACTATATTTACTTGAATATAAGATGATTTTTTCTAAATGTCTCATTTGATAAACATGGTCATCTTGTATTCACTCTCTAATCTTAGTCGGTTATGATCTTCATTTTTACACTAACTTTTCATGTCAAGAAACTTGGAATTTTGATGTATTATGTACTAGTAAGATGTGTAGGTGATGAATACCAGATGTATTCATGGATTTATTCTTTGCATTCACTGCAAAAATCATACAAATATTTTTGAATGGCGCAGTAAAGAGAAAATATCAATCGAATTGTTGTAGTAAGTTTACAAAAACACAACATGAAAATGAATAAAAATAATAAGATTTTGTTCCACAATGCATTTGATTGACGAGGCTGCTCAGACTCTTTATTCGACAACTGACAAGTGTGAATCTGCGTTATGCAAGAGATCAAATAGTACAAAACATTTGTGTATGACAAAAACAATAATGATTTTAAGGGAATAAGCAAATTGGGTAAGGTCAGGAAAAAAGTATTTAACCTTTTCACCAAGATGGTTTTCTAGTCAATTAGGCAACTTGCAATTGGTAGAAGTATGCATTCTACATCTAACCACAGAGATCGAATGATAAAAGAAATATTTTGCTAGTAACTTCCAAGTGTTAATAACTTTTCTTCTTCCCGTGGCCCCCAAGAGGAGGTGTGGATATGTACAAACTTGATCAAGCAAATTCAATGGACATTTAAAATTCATGTTTGTTAAAGAAGTAGGTCGCAAACACGTACGACTGGAAGACACTGAAAGCACATAAGGAAATGCTCTTAAATAGCAGCAGAAGGCAGAAGAAGAATGCAAATCTTTTTTTGGAAGTTGAGGGGGGAAATCGGAAGCCTACCTAGTATAGAATGAGAAACAAAAAAAGATGCATATGAAGATGGTAGTGACAAAAACTATGATAATTTTAAGGGAATAAGCAAATAGGGTAAGGTCAGGAAAAAAGTATTTAACCTTTTCACCAAGATGGTTTTCTAGTCAATTAGGCAACTTGCAATTTAATTTAACTAAATAGAAACGATTAGTAAAACAACAACAACAAAAAAAAAATTCTTGTTGGGACATATATTACTTACCATCATCTTATATCTGAGTAAATACAGTATATCACTTGTGACTGAAGGTTTTATGAACTTTTAAAAATATTGTTTTTCCATCCTATGTGCTTCTGCAATCCCTTTCATTTAGAGTGAGACTACTTTCGCAATATGATGGAGTTCTTATGTCATGCAACATTACAACAATTTGAGTCAGTTAATCACCTCAAACTGTTTATTGTTAATATTGTAGCGTAAACAGCAACACTGGAAAATGGTACATTGCTGTCTGATGGAAGAGCAGTGGAGTAGTCTGGATTTTTTGCTTAATTGCTGTTGATACTACCTTTCTCCTACGGAATGGTGCTTAACAGGGGTTTTTCTTCCGAAAATGTTCAAACACTATTTCTCAGAATGAAAAGATCCTTTTTGTATTATTCTTTATATGTATTATGTTTTGAAACATTTTAATCAATATATAATTATTATTTGTTAGTAATCCAGATATTTTATCATTATTTTGCGATGAACTATAGTTCATACATTTTGATTAATCGTGAAAATTAAATTTCATCTATAAGTATCTTTGGTTTACTAATACTCCTAAAGTGACAAAACCAATGCTTCTGGTGTAGACTTGTTGGATTAATTGAATTTCATTGTCAGTGCAATGGTCTGAAAATATATAAATTTTTTCATTACTACTATTTATTCCCTATTGTTATCACTGAATTCCAAACTGAAAATATTGTTCTAATAGGTATTAATCTTTTAATGCAATTTTCTTTTTAGTTACCTGTCTATAAAAAAATACTTTTTAGGAGGTCATGCAAAAATTACATAAGGCAACCTTGGATGATTTTGGATAGAACCTTGCTCCTGTAATGCATGCCTGAACCCTGACCTCTGAATATGTAACATGCATCAAATGCAACATGTCAAAATAAATTGTATAGCAGTAAAAACAATTTGTATTAATTTTACTTTCTCCCTACAGAATAGAGAAAAAGTTATCTAATGCTGTGCAAAAAAAACAGCGAATTTTTGGCAGAAGACTCTTAATGAGGGCCCCGGTAACCAAAAAGTGAATAAATCCACGCCAAACAGTTTAAGCCAATTTTCTCCAAAATTGATATTCCCCAATCAATCTGGCTGATGTCGCAACCCATTGAATTGGAAACCCATATTTTAATTTTGAGGGTACTCTACATGATGCCCTTGGGATGTTTTCCAAATTTTAAAAAAACTGGCTTCATTGTTGATTCAATTTTGTTGTTGTATTGTGTAAAGGCATTTAAGAAAATGATGCAGGTCCCATTTTGGAAAAAAACGTGATTTTTTGAAAATTGCAAAAGTTTAAAATATTTTTCAGTGTATTCCTACAACTACAATTATAAAGGTAGAGATTTTTTCCTTAATGAAATCTGTTCCTTGATGATAGATTTTGAAATAAGGTCACATACAATTTTTCAAAAATTTGAGGACTTTTGGTGTGAAAGTATGGGTGAGAAAGTTGCTGTTCTAGCACCAATAGTTATTTTATATTAAATCTAAAAATTGTTTTCATTCAGTATATTTTGTTTATAACAATTTCGGTAATTTTTCCACCACGTGAGACCATTCCTTTTGGAATTGTTGCATTCCACCAACAAATCATGTCTACCAAAAATTTACAATAAGAAAATTTAGTTTTGTGTAACTGAATGATATAAAAGAGGTGACGAAATAAGAAATTAATTGGAAATGCCCCACTATTATCACATGAAATAGAATACTTTGAATGTTGACGAGTCCCAAGCAGTATGATGTGTAGTCATCAGATGTCAAATGCAGATTACTTTGGAATTCTGAGATATCGTTATAAAGTTTCCTTGTTTGCTCGAGAAAAAAAAAAAATTACTACCGAGAGGATTAAATTATTTTCTCTCATCCTACAAAGGTGTGAAAATTGATGAAATATTTCCAAACAAAAATACATACTTAAATAAAGATCTAGGTCCCAGATGTGTTCGTAGGCTTCCGCGGCCAGAGTCAATGTATTCTTGGCTATCTGGGATGAGCCGTGTCTCAGGTGATTGGACTGACATTTCGACCATCTTGCTATGGCCTTCTTCAGAGCTATACTGCTAGGTCCCAGATATCCACTCCAATGCTCTATTAGTAAGATCAGTTGTGTGTGGCACAAGGCACTAAAAAAAACAAGTACCCTGAACAATGGTTATGTTTTTAAAATTAAATAATCTCCATTCCCCGCACCTCAGGGAACTACTAGGATCTCCCTCTCCCATGAACTCTATCCATGGCAGAGCTCCCTGAAGATCAAGGCGAGGTAACCTTCGGCCCATCTTTGTCCAGTACCTTTATCATGCCTTATGTGGGTTTAGGGAGCTAGTTCCTTATACAGGCATCATACACAGATCAGCCTGGGCAAGGGATTAGGGTGTTTGCAGGTGATGCATTGTATCCTGGGAATGTACTCAATGCCACAAGCACGATTGAGAAATTAAGGTCCATTGATATTGAAACACTTGCAAGTATTTGCCACACGAGCAAGTACCTCCACCACCCAGACTGACCAGGAATGGCAGGATATTATAGAAAGGGTGAAAATGCTCATATCTATGCAGCACTTGAGCTTGCAACCCCTGATCTGTGCTAGCTTCAGCACTATTGCCTTAGCGGCCTGTAGCATCTGGATTGGTTACGAATAAACAGATCTTTAACATAAAACATTAATGCATATTTATTGAATGTTTATTGCAGATTCTGCCCATAAATGTGTACATTGGTTTGGCTTTGTATCCACTCTTACCATATATTACAGATGCAAATTAATGTCCTGCTTTCTTCATTTAAGCAACAATAACAATAATAAACTTAAAACTTACATTGTAGGGACTATAAAGTAAATGGTGCACATATTCAGACTTCCAAAGTTTTACAAAACTATCCACAAATACTATAAAATAATTTTTCTGTTGAGTATCACATAGTTAGAATGATTGAGTTTCATTTTCAGAAATTTTCGCAAATAATTCTAACACCCTGATGCCTGCTTAAATCTGCGGGAGATGTCCTCCCAATTAGCAACATCAAAAATTGCTTTCACATAGTCCGCTCGCACATTCTTGTACTGCAGATAGTAAGCATGCTCCCAGACATCAATGCCAAACAAAGGAATCAAGCCTGAAACATAAATCATAATTAAGTGAAAACAATCCAAGAGTCCAATTTAATGTAACCTTATAACAGAGACAAATTCAGAAAGTATGCCCGGCAGAAAGAGATGGGAGCACTTTCTATTTGAATCACTTTGAACATTTTTTTAATAATAATAATAATAATAATAAGTAAATAAAAATTGTTTTGAAATAAAAAAATCATATTGAAAATTTTCCTTCTGAATTTTGTTTTAATCAAATTTTTATAGAGGCAAACAATGCTAAGAATGAAAACTGTATTTTCAGTGAAATAAAACTATTATCTTGCACAGAAATTCCTTAACTCTCTAGAGAAAAAATAATCATCTAAGGTTCGCAAACCAGAGGTCATTTTGACTTTAGCAACATTATGTATAATGGATAAAAATAATTGTTTTGCAGCACTTATATTATTTGATGAAAAAGGTTTTTTAAAATCTTTTATTACATTTAAATGGAGGAATTAACGTGTGCAAAAGTAAGTCACGAACCTAACTTATCGAACACTCAATAACTTCAACAGATCCAGTAGTAAATACAATATTACAAACCTGTGGTGGCTTGCAGCGGGTCTTGGTTAGCACAAGTGGCGATTTGCAAGGTTTTGGCATTCTTATTGTATCCAAGCCAGCCCCATCCTGAACCTTGGACACCAATGGAAGCTGCTGAAAGTTGTGCTTTCAGGTTATCCAACGAGCCAAAGTCCTTCTTAATTGCAGCTTCAAGCTCAGCTGAAAGATTTTAAATACAAATAGGAAGTTGAAAGACAAAATTTATAACCACCATGTTAGAATTAGCAAAGGAATATTTACAGCTAGGACAGCCGCCTGTTGGTGACAAGTTCTGCCAGAATATAGTATGATTGATATGACCACCACCATTAAACTTCAGAGCTGGTCCCAAACTTATAATTGTGTTAACATCACCTACAACAAAACAGTGGAAATTCATATTGTGATAATACTCAGAAGTTCATGCCAAGGATTAGCATCCAACCTTTGGCTTCAGCTTCCTTCAGCTTTTCTTCAGCGACATTCAGATTGGCCACATATGTAGCATGATGTTTACTGTGATGAAGTTTCATAATATCTGCACTAATAATGGGCTCCAGCGCATTGTAGTCGTAGGGCAGATCAGGCAGACTATGTTTTTGCCTTTCATTTTTATTACTAACTGTTCGAGCGGAGCTGTTCCTGAATTGGAAATAGGTGTAAGTTTCAAGGTTGAAGATTTCATTTCATCCGATTAGAATACAAGATATACCTTAAATATGTGAACAATCCTCGCCTGCAGGCCAACATAGTGAAAAACTAATATTTTTGCGGAGCTTTCACTCTGTTAATCTTCGCCGCCTTCTCCTCCCTTATCTGTCCAGAATTGTCCGTTCCGGTGTCCGACCGGTCGTGCTGGTCAGGATCGAAGCACGGACCACAGGGGAGAAGCACATAAAATCAGCTCTCGACGATAGAGTCGCATCGAAGCTGCACCGTTTGTTCTTTGACGTCGCCATCTTATATACATACACGGTATAAGATATCTCACTGTATATACTGATGTATACTCTCTGTCTCACACCGTGATATATATCACCGGGAAGTTTTGGTTAGAAAATTAACAAAATCTTGCAGTCCTTGGATTATTTTTAGCATATCTTCAGTATGAATTAGTGTTTTGGTGTGTGCCACATAAATGAAAGATATTTTACTCGGGGAATAGACTCCTGCAGACTTTTCTTAATATCATTACCTCTTACAATATTCTTCATCGTGACATAAAACTAGTGATGCTCCAACAACACATACTCTCTCACATTATTTGTTACTTCAAATTTTTGAAAATTGAGAGGCTTCACAAGACATGGAAAATCGAATCAGTGCCATTTTGTAAGCTTTCTCTCTATCCGAGAGCAAAATTTAAAGGCAAAATTTGCAGCCGCGTTTGAGTACAGACTATTTTAAAATTGCCTTCACTTCATGCAAAATTACTCAAAATTTATTCAAATTTCCAAAAAATTAACATTATTTAAATTTTTTACACGACATTATTTAAAGATTTATTTTTAAAGAACTGATTTTATCGCGAAATCAGCCGGAGAATAATATTTTTTGTGAAAATGCTATCAACGGTTGCCGCTAGTGGTGCACACACACGACCAGGTAAACGTTTTACCGTAAACCCATTTTTCGCAATCATACCACAAAACGTGGAATCTGACTACACAACCTACGTTATTTACTACATTATCCCCTTTTTCGGTACCAGAAATCCAAAATACAAATTTCTGTGTCGAAAAATCGCCATATATAGGTGTTTGAAACCAACCATTTTTTTTATCCATGTTGGGATTTGAACTCAGATGCTTAGAGTTAGGGTTAACCCTGTACCCCACTTTTCGGGTTAATCCTGAACCACCAGCCTCATAGCAAAACTCATCATTTCCAACACGAAAAAATAATTGAAAATTTGAATTTGCAATTTTCAAAAATTCAGAGATTTTCAAAAATTCAGAGATTTTTATTTACATTATTTAAGAATCTAGTTTAAAAAAACAATTTCATTAAGGAGAAAGCATTTATCATCAATATTGTATTTTTGCAATTTTCAAAAATTAAGAAATTTCTAAGAAAATGGTACATGCACCATTTCTAAGCGTTCTTTACGGTATGCAAATAATTCTTTTAATAAAAAGACTGGAGCCGTTTTCGGAGCAAATAAAAAAGTTCGCAAAGTCTCAAGTTCGTCCAGGTCGGTAGGGGAACATCGATTTTGAAGAAAAACATGTCAAGGGTTTAGGTGCTAGCATTGACCATAGATAGACGGCCAAACAGACATTTTATTGTTAATTTTTTGGTGTCAAGGACTGAGAATTCGTAGATTTTGACTACACGTGTTAGAGGAGTAGATCCTGACTACACGTGTTAGAGGAGTAGATCCTGGCTACAGAACATGGTACAACTCCATGATGAAATCCCAGGTTCGATTCCCAGTCGCGGCGAAAATAGAGCTGTAACTTTCTAATGAAAATCGTCTCAGTTTCTATAGCAGTGTGATGAAAGAAAAGCTCAGCAGGCTAAGGACTATGCTAGATACAGTGAAGGGAGTACGTCGTGCTTCCCATATGCTTCTCTTTCCCGAAGGCGTGGATAATAAATGAACCAGGTATGGGAACACGGCTAGCTGACAAAAGTCGAATTAGTCCGACCCTAAAATGGCAAATAAAAACATAAATGTGGGTTCAAGTTCTACTTTTGACGTACTAGGTGTTTGTGGCTGTTCAGTCCTGCTCTCTTCTATAAATCACCTCGGTGTCTCTGAACCGAATGTATAATCATGAAGCCGGTTCTACAAGTCTGTCTTTTTGTTGGTTTTTCGTCTCTCTCTCTCTCTCTCTCTCTCTCTCTCTCTCTCTCTCTCTCTTTCTCACTCACTCACTCACTCACTCACTCCCTGCCCTGTCTTTCTATGATACAAGTATTCACATGATTTCAACATTCTCCAACGTTCCTTCGAGAACTCGGAGGCAGCAGTGCTGCTATCTGTGCAGCGACCCGCTAGTAAGGGCTATTCTGGTAATGCTGCCCAATGGCTTTGATTCTGATCACGAAAGCCAACTTCGTCCATTTTGTTTGAGCAGGCCTTGGAGGAACAAGCGAAGGCGCGCGCGCGTCGCTGGTTCTCGCGATGGAGGAGCGGCCGGTGTGGCCGAAGCTGGAAGATCGAAAGTCGGCTTGAAGCGCAGCCATGGCGGACCGACCCATCGCCACCGCCACCGCCACCGCCACCGCCACCCCCGCCGCCGCCGCCTCCGCTCACCTCGGGCTGCGTCGCCGCCTCAGTGCGAAGTAAGTGACCATAGAACACCACACGTGAGAACACTTGCACGAGAGAAAGAAAGAAAGAAAGAAAGAAAAGAGAGAGAGAACAACAACAAAAATATTGACTTGTAGAGCTAGAACCGTACATATAATACGGTTAATATAATACATATAATTATATACACGTTTGGGAACCGTATAGGTAATGTTTGGTAGAGGAGAGCATGACTGAACAACTGCAAACAACTGTCAAAGGCAGGACCCAAACAAACCGAGTCTGTTAAAGCATTTTCGCTTTTGCGAGTTGGCTCCCGTAGCCGGTCAACTTTGACACTAAATTGTGCCTAATACACTGTCAATTGTAGTAGTATCTAGCATCCAGACAAGAATTGTGGCATAACAAACAAATGCAGCATGTGAAAATAAGCGAATAATAGATGACACGAAGCATAAGAACTAACCTAAAATACAGTACTGACATATCTGCTTTCTGATGGATAAATTGCGATTTATAAATGTGACGTTTTTTTGTGCACGTTGAGAGGGGAACACCACTCGCATTTATCATACTTCGATTTAATTATACTAGTGACTTCTAGTTTTTGAAAACCTGGAAGCGGATATCCAATCGGGAGCTTCGTTTCGAGTTAATTTTTGGTACCGGAAATCAACTGAAGAAGTGTATGTTTTGAAGTAGCGCACGTTTTCTTGAGATTCGGAATACATAACCTCCACTTCTTTACTATCATTAGTTGAATTAAGCATATATGATAGAAACAATCGTTGTTGACAAAATAAAATAACCAGAAATGTTCTCTCTCGTGTAATTGAAACCGTTTTGTATCGAAATATGAGCTACGGATTTGATTTAGTAGTCCTTTCGCCAAAATAACCAACCCTCCCACTTCTCTCACATCTACAAAAGAGAAAGCTCAAAAAACGTGCGCGGGTAATAATGCAAGTATTCTCCAATTTGATTACTTTAGACTTTTGACATTCGATCAGGTGGAACGCGATTATCCAATCTGGAGATTCGGTTTCCAAAAATTAAGTCATAACGAAAGTCTTGATTGGATAACCGCTTCCCAGGCGTTCAAACGTTAGAAGTATTTTAATTTTGTAGGGTACTTTAAGCCTCAACATTTTCAAAATTCTTGCGCATCGTAACCGACTTCAGCCAATGAGGTTCAGATACCAGTTTGCGTCGTAATATTAGCGGGAATTTTAAATGTAGACAGATACAACACCTCGTTACAAGACATTGAAACAGATTTACGAAGCATCTGTTTTAAATATTTCGTTCTATACACCTTATTACGTTATTTTTGATTGGTTACAGTTCAAAATTGTCCGTGTACTACTTTCAAAATGTTTGTCAAAACTTCTCGCTTTCCATACAACATGGCTGCTAGCGTCTGGTCTGGCTTTTGAAACGAAGTGGCTGTGCTGTGGTCACGTGCTTCGTGACGCAAACTGATGTTGCGCATAACGAGCAAAAATCGATTCGCCGGAGGAACTCACCCATATCTTTCCACCATTGGCTCAACAATTGATTCACGCATATCTTTCCACCATTTGGCACCAAATGGCTCGATGTGCGACTAATTGGAAATGGAATGCCAAGGGATATTAGAGATAGGACGTCCAATTTGCGTGCTTTTCCTTTCTACATCAATAATGAAGCGGAAAACTCTCATATCTTATTATTTAAGTGGTTGACCGGGTGACGCCGCGTCTATGGCAAAGGTGTCGACGTTTCTGTCGCCTTTCTGCGACCTTCCTCAGGGCGTAACGCCTAGTGAAGGATACGCCCTGAGGAAGGTCGCAGAATGGCGACAGAAACGTCAACACCTTCGCCATGAACGCGGCGTCACCCGGACAGCCACTTAAATAATAAGATATGAGTGTTTTCCGCTTCATTATTGATGTAGAAAAGTAAGCACGCAAATTGGTCGTTCAATCCCTAATATTCCTTGGCATTCAATTTCCAATTAGACGCACATCGAGCCATTTGGTGCCAAATGGTAGAAAGGTATTCGTGAATCAATTGTCGAGCCAATGGTGGAAAGATATGCGCGTTCCTCCTGTAACGTATTAGCCAGCGTGCCTCATGGCATCTATTTGGGGACGCTTGGGAGAGGATTAGCCTCGCCACATGAAGAAGGGTTTTTCCGTAAAGGGAAGAACGAGGAAACGGGAGACACAAGGCTTTGGGAGTCATCCGGCCTATTCACTGTTACAACAAGCGAGGGGGTGGCGTGACGTAGTAGGTCACGTGGGCCTCGCCTATATAACAGAGTGTACAGAGCCAGTGGAGGGGTTCTGGAGACAGTGGGAGAACCTCGTGCGTGTGCACAAAACTTGGCGCCACGACGATGCATATGCGAGCCAGGCTCGCGAGGCTCGAGTCACTGCGGACTTTAGGTCCTTGGGTGGCTGCGGTCACGGGGGAGCGATGCTGTGTGCGTGCTCCGAGGTGAAGAGTGGTTGAGTGCCACGATTCACGCCGATTCTCAATCGGATAAGATCGCTCCTGCGATCGAGGCAAACCAGCCGTTGGTGCGCCAGAACGGACTTTGTGTCCCAGCGTGACATCCGGTCACGGAAGCTAGGCTTTGTGCGCGCTTCAAAAGTAGGAGTGGCGAATGCCACAATCAAAACCATCTTCAATCGGGTTTGGATCGCTCTCGCGATCAGGGGATAGTAGGTCTATCAGAGCTAGGGTGTAAGTAGATTATTAAGTGTATATATTTGTTTTGTTTTCTTGTTAATAAATATATTTGTTATATGAAAGCTCTGTGTCTGTGGTCGCTGTGAATATCCATGACGTCACACTCCGGCGAACCGATTTTTGTTCGTTATGCGCAACATCAGTTTGCGCCACGAACTACGTGACCACAGCAACCGCGACCGCGAAAGTCTACGTTCTTACTCATATCTTTCCACCACTTCAGCAGCAGCGGCGGCGCGGGCGGGGCCGCGAGGGAGAGCGGGTGGGGGTCGCTACCGCTGGCGCGTAGGCGACGCCGCCGCCGCCCCCGCCCTTCCCCTCACCCCGGCCATGCCCTCGCCCTCGGCCCCGGCGCACCGCCCGCCGCTGCCCACGCCCACCCGGCCGCGCTCCGGCCGACACCGCCTCACGCACCTGGTGAGCACACACACACACACACACACACACACGCATACGACGGACTAACCCGTTAAGGTATAGGGCGTCGCGATAATCCGAGGTAATAGGGGCTGACGGTACCTCGAATTACAAAAAGAATACTCGGATTACACGGGAAAAAGGAAAATACGTATACACCATGTTATTTTCAACTACAATGTAAAAAGAAGTCAAATTTAAAGTATTTTACCATGGTCGTTCGGACGAACACTTAAACACACCAACCGACACTTACAATACAGACCAACAACAGTAGAGTCACGGTAATCCGAGTTGAGAGTTGCCAGTAATCCGAAATGGAAAAAAAGCCTAATGTGAGACCTCAGCCAAGTCACATTAACAAACACATAATGAAAATCATCATGCGAGCAAACAAGCGGCGAAAATCTAGAGCTAGTTCTTGACGGGTTGGCACAACTGCATCGAAGGTCACGTGTACGGCGGTCGGTGCCAGTGTCAAGACCACCTGCTACATTATTGTGACTGGTTTACGCTTTTTTTGTGATGTTCTTTGTACAGTGCGTTACTACAGTAGGCGCAATGTAAATTGAAAGTTATATCAGTATGTATCTGTAGCTTTAATAGTGTTGGCATGTTAAATTAAAGTAAAATCTCTGTTCTTCAAGGTGGAAAGAAAAAAATCGGTTCTTACCGGCCTAATTTTTGAATAAAATAAAGTTTATATTAGGTCCTGCTCTTATAGAATAGCTTTTGCGGTCTACTTTTGTATCCCTTAGACTACCATTTAAAACAAAATCATGGGTTTTTGTTATGTACACATTAGGTGAGCTTATTTACGATCGCATTCGCATTTTCAAATTTCTTGGTTTGGGGCGCAACAATGGGGTAATGGGACCGGTGGAACCCACGTGGTTTCATCGTATGGGGCGTTTATGAGGCATTCAGAAGCCAAGCCGACTAAAGTCGAGAGCTCGAGCTTGAGTCGAAGCTGTGCGATTTGGAAAACATTCAATTAATTTTTTCGGGTATTACTTTACACGAAGCCCCTCCAGACATTTTCAAAATTTTCTCAGAAATGCCTCCAAATTATTTATTTAAATGTCTTGTAAGAATAGAGTAAAATACACTTAGAAATGTGACATAGGTCCAATTTTCACCGTTAACTCTGAATTTTCGATATTTGCATAAGTCTGAATGTTTTCAACGATTTCGGGCAACTACAAAACTAAAGATAGTGATTTTTCCTTTAAGTATAATTATTTTCTCAGTGGTTTGTATTTAAGGTCACTTACATATTTTGAATATTTTAATAGATTTTGCGCAATATTGCTTGTAATGTGCAATTTTAAAAAGTATCAAAAAACGGGTTTTTCTAACAAACGGCTCCAATTTTTTCTTGAAACGTTTGATGGAAATAATAATAAATGTCCTGTATGAGATGACATAAGCGACATATGTCTCTATTCTTTTGTTTTTTCTTTTCAAAAATAACACAAATGTAAATTTGTTGACTAGTCTCTCACGTCGTTAATGTTTACATTAGCGACGAATTATTCACATTATTTCATTTACGAAAACCTAAGAAGCCGTCATATAACGTTTCTCAAAAACTCAAGTTTTCTGTAAAAACGAGCAGAAAATTCATTTTTCAGAAACGCTCAAATGACATTTTCTCAAAAAATTCTCCAAACTTTTTCTTTAAACTTTTCGTACGGGTTGACCTAATTTAACTGTCTACGATGAAATAAATTTAATTTTGCTGTATTATTTGTTTAAAAAATGCACAAATGTTTTTTATATCTATCTCGCTTTTAATACGCAAATGTCCAGCAATATGTATGCACTATTGAATTTGTGAGCGAAAGGACTTCACATATCTTCTAGTGAAGTTTTTCGAAAACACAAAAGATTTCACTGACAAAGAGCTTCAAATTTCGCATTTATTCGTACACTAAAGCTTAAACAGTTAACGGTTTCAGATTTGCAACATTTTCCGCAAAGAACAAGGTTTTACTCTTCTTTACTATTTTAAAAGTAATATTTCGCATTTTCCATTAGAAATACGAAAAATTGAGAAAACTTAAAAAAAAGGCAAATTGGGTAGCAATAGATGGCCACTGGCAAGAGGAAGGGTGAACACCCTAAAGCGAGTCTACATCAAGAAATTTATAAAACGTTCCTACGAGAAAGACTGTGCCATTCTGTAGAACTACTAGTTCTGTATTATCTTGTTTTAACAAAATCACAAATGTAAAAGTATTTAGTGATCAAATAATACTATTTTCACAGTGAGCTTAAAACGCTTAACAATTCTGTGTTTAGTTAGTGTTAAATAAAATAACTTGTTAAATACATGAAATATTAAGTAGGAATTTCAGTTGATCCTGTTTTAATTTTAGCGTTTGTGGATTCATTTCATACCCCCTCATAAGTACTGACTACAATTAACTATTTAAAGTAAAACTTCAATTGAATTTTTATGAAATATCAGCCTAGTGTACCAAGACATAAAATTACAACGCTTTCCTGGAGTTGTAAGCTCTTTTTCAATTTTTTACTGCGTTTGCCCGTCATCGTGCCCCATGACGTGCGGGGCCCTGCCTAGCGCCGGCTCCGAACTCACCATTTGTCTCCGCGCGCGTGCGTGTGTGTTGGGCGGCAGCTGAGGGAGCGTCTGCAGCAGCGGGGGGCGGGGCCGGTGGTGGTGCGGGTGGAGGCGAGAGCAGCCCTGCTCGTCACTGGACGAGTGCTTCTACTTGCGCCCGTCGGAGGTGCTGTATCCGCCCCGCTCCGCTCCGCGCTGTCGCTCTCCTCCTCGTCGCACTGCGAGGAGAGCGGGCCCGAGCTCCAGCCCGCGGCGCCAGCCCCGTCTCCGCCCGCCTCCGCCACCGCCACGCCGCCCGCCCCGGCCCCGGTCCCGCCCCGGCCGCCCGCGGACCCCCCGCCTTCGCCACAGACGCCGCCCCGCCATCCGACGCGGACGGCGAGCGCCAAGACGAAGTGGGAGGACACGGTGACGCCCCCCGCAGCCAGCGTTGGCTCAGGGAAACGACTGGTGTTCGAGGCTAGGCAAGGGCGGGTTTTCGACACTAGCTGTACAATTAGGTCCTCCATTCCTTCCTCTTCCTTCTCTCCCCTCACACACATGCACGCATACTGAAGGGGGAATCCCCGCATGCCGAGGTAGTAGGTCGGCGCCGGATTTCACCATTCTGCGGCGTAGGATTACCACCACGTCGAGGGATATTATAACAACAACACGAATGGAGAGGATGACTATAGAGGGCATCAACTGCGAGGTGCGTCAAGCTGGAATAGCCATGTCAGCGTCCCGGACGAAACATGACAAATGATTTATTGCTAATTAATTGCCACAATTTGGAATTAATTACCACGTATCTTCGTGGCGAAATCTGGTGTATGCTGGGCGCTAGAAGAACGTAGTTAAATTCGTTCGTAGCTCAACGGACTCTCGATGATTTATTGCTAATTAATTGCACAATTTGTGAGGCGAAAACGGATGTGATCTGATTGACGCGACGCCAGCCCAACAACTGATTAAATTCGGGTCGCATAGTCGAAAAACCTCCGATGATTTATTGCTATTTAATTGCGACAATTTGGAATTAATTATGTCGTAAATTTGGGTGGTAGCTCGATGAAAATCCTCCGTGCTAAAAAAATTGCTAATTAATTGCCACAATTAGGAATGATGACTGAATTTTGACTGATGCACGTGCACTGCCTCTGATCTTAGGTCTTAGGACTCGAGTGCCTACGGGGCCAGGTTTTTCGATACTAGCAATTACCTACGTCGAATTCACTCGCTGTGTAGAGGAGAATTCTAGCTGCCGGTTGCTCTGATGTGTAGATTGTCGTGTTTTTTTTTTGATCACACTTGGCGAATGCCGGAGCAATGCCTCACAACCGGCCACGGACTACGCGTAATCATTCCAATCTCTTCTAGACCTTATACTCATCTTACACACACACATGAACCACACTACCACGCACGACGGGAGATCAGTCAGGAGCTTAAAGATTGTTCGGCTGGGGCGGTGTCCAGCTCTTGGGGTCAACTGCTCGTCCTGACTGGCTAGGAAAAATCCGCTGGCCGACATTAGGTCCAAGTGGATATGTCATCTAGCAAGGAAAGATCGCTTACACTCACTGAAAATAAAGACCTCAGAAGTCGTCGCAATCAGAAGCACTAGTAATCTCTCTTTCTCTCTCTCTCTCTCTCTCTCTCTATTCTCTCTCTCTTCTCCTCTCTCTCT